ACAAATTACATTGAAAAGCTGGAACATGAGGCTGACAGGTTGACAATCAAAGACAGTGAGAACAAACGCCTTTTAAATTGGATTGACCAATCAACAAGTTGCAAATGGTGACGTCACGCCAATAGAGTTGCTTATCGCATACTTCTTACATTTGCTTATTAATGAATACTCGTAATTTTATAACGCTCATGAGAAAAAGTTGAAGGCTTCGTTCTGAAGCAATATAGACTGCAAGCAAAAATAATTAATCTATATTTGAATCACATGCATATTCCCCAATTTGGTATGTGTGCAATTCAACATTATAGTAGATTTACACCAATGCGCGTGAAGTGAGCGCTGAATCAATGTACTTGATCTAATCAAATTTTCGTTGATCCAAATGTCCATTACCGATTTGCCAATTTTTTCAGTGACCTGAAAATGGTAACGTGGGTTTTGTTGTTTTTTGAGTACGTAATCACTGGTTCCGTGGTCTTTTGGAAGAAATAAACAAAAGAAAAACAAGTAATCATTGAGAACCCCACGATTTTTAGGAGAACTGGAACCACATACCTATAAATCACTTTTTACTGACGTACTGGCTACCACAGTGGCCTTTTTCAATGTACAAATTAATCATGACAATGGCGACAGTTTAATCATCTATTTGAACCGTTTTCGGGACGATGAGCGAGGTTGGCGAATTTGGTACATCCAAAACAACAGATAACCTTATGCTTGTCGCTTTGGGGGCGTCTTTTGGTAACGGGAATGATAACGCCAGGTGGAACCGCAGTGCCGTCTCAAAATTATAATGATGGCTACGCGCGATCCCGGTGTGGTACAGGATCGTTCAGGCTTTCGTTACAACACGCTGTATAGTAGAGAAACACAAGAAAAAAATGAACTGTCACTTGGGAGACAGACAAATATGAAATGTATTGTCATTGTCATTAATTTGTACTTTTAAAATATTCGCAGAGGTGACCGAAACGTCAATAAAAAGCAGTTTATACATATGTATATGGTTTGACTTGACCAGAACATCGTGGAGTTCTATCAGCCTGAAAATTACAGGATATATTTTAGATGTTACAGTAAGTAATCATTTATTCAATAATACTGAAATATTAGCTTAAAGAAAAAGGTAAAATATAGTCCTACATCTTGACGAACAGTTTACTATCGCATTAGAATACGCGCGTATTCCCTCTCGATTTCAAAGAGGCTAACGTACTTCTGGGCAGGCCAAGGAAAGTGACAAAAGGCCGGAAGGAGGAGGCACCGGCCCTTGTAAGCTGAGAATGACAAGTGAACATCGGGCCGCCGAGTACCCGTGAGATAGTCCTTTTTTAAAAAAAAAATGCGATGTTGGGACCGTTGTGTTTGAAAAGCTGTAAATACAGAAATAACGCACAAGGATTGATTACATATTGCAAGGAATGTACCCGTATAGGGAATCATTGTTTTCCTCAGATGTTTGCGAGCGATGAAGAGGATTGCGCAAATATGTTTACTTTCCACTATGCAATAAAATTTGTGCATCGGAAAGATTCTAGAAAATCCATTTAGAACTCAAACTAAAACGGCCAAACTCTTACACCATAAAAAAGTCCACCGTATGTTTTGATAGTTTTCAGAATTTAAAGCATTCCTTATTTAGCGTTTCTGATGCAATCGTCATTTTAGATGGGTCGTGTGGAAAAAATAAACTTTATCTCTTCACTCATTGCTCTTAAGATAATGAATAATGATATCTACAAAGGGATCGAGGCACCGAAATGAACTAAATGTAGAAGCCACATTTCAACTATATAGGTACATTAACCTAAAAGTGATATGGACACACGAATCAATATAAATATCTGATTCACAAAACATTTCCATAGTTCCTGAACCTCAAAAACACCTCAATATTATCAGGAAATTGAAGGTCTTAAAAATTAGTTGTTTTTTTAAATTGATTCTTTCAAACATGTGCTCATGCAATTAGAAAACACATAAAGAAATGAGCTGAAAGCTAGCCTAGGAATGTTTTTTGTAGGTAAGTCCAACAGTGTCAAAACCACATACAAATCTTCGATTCGATTAAAATACCCCTTGTCTATAGCGTCAGTGTTGAAGTCTACACTCCAAAATTATTATTAACAGGGTATCATTGTCAATAACGTTTTTGCATGCCACTCTTGCGAAAATCAAAGATGAATCACCCATCTAATTTATTTGAGGTAGGAGTCGGGCGATTGTTTCTCTATTCCGCACAAAGTTTTTAATTTGTTTCCTTAGTAAGTCTACTATAAAGCAGACAATTTTCCAGTTATAAGGGAGTTAAAGTTCCATTTGTAGTTTATTTTAAAGCGTTACTCACGCGCTTCTCTAGAGCACGGTAGCCCTGTAAGAGACGATGACGTGATATTAACAATTAAATTGTAAGTCGAAAACAGTCAACTTTTTTATCTAAAAAACCTAAAAACACCCCATAGCGAAAAAAAGTATTTGTGATTTGTTTAAAAAAAAGTTCAAACAAATGTCCACCAGATTACCGCCCGACAACCCCTTCATTCATGTTAAGGAGCATCCAACAAACTTAAGAATGAAAAAAATGGCGGCGAGTAGGTTGACTCTGCAGTTCCTACGCAACACCGTCATAAGTTCATGAAGGATTAAGTTCAGCTCAAGTTAAAGCTTTTCAGAGAAAAAATAGTTACGAAAAATTAAACTGACCAAGTCCGTCAAACAGGCCCATACAATTAGTCCAAAGATATTCTTTCCCTGCCCTCCCGGTAGATATACTATACCGTCCACCTCACAAAGTTGCCCATTTCCATATTGTCAGAGCCCCCACCGAAGCACCGCCGCAGTTCGTTACGCTGGGCGCTGAGCTCAGGTAGCAGAAGGAGATGTATATCGAAACCATTTTTCTGTCATTTTAAGTTTTAACGACAAATGTATGGGAAAACATGTGACGTGTGAATAAAGTGTTTAGAATTACCGGCAGGGGTATTATGTAACTTGAAAAGTGACATTATTTCGGTTCTTTCGACATTATGTAGGTTTTTCCAGAAGACGCTAACTTGGAACTAGCTATCGTTCACTTCATACTCACTTTTGTAGTAAGCTCAAAATGAACTATTTGAACACTAGCCTACTTAGTCAACAATTTGACATTTTATCGTTTTTTTTTTACGTAATAACCCTGCTGGGCTGGGAGCGTATAGATATACTAACATAAACAAATCAGATATATCCTACTCTATCCCCCTACCAGCTCCATTCCCTAATTTTTTGCCCCTACAGTTTTTTCATTAATGATCCTAAGGATCCTCTGAATTGACAAAAAAGTTTGGTCGATTTTTATTTTTTTTTCTTTTTTGCCTTTTTATCTCTTTATCCTCCGCCACTGGGTCGATTTTCAAAAACTATAGAGCCTTTTTGTCAATTTTCCAAGTTATAGGCGAGCCAAGGATTAGCGGACAGACAGAAATACAGACCGGCAGACCGACGGAAATGAGCGACATGGTTTTTCGTGATGTTCATGCCATATAACACATCTCATTTTCAATTTTTTTTCGCGATTACAATACTTTCTCGCCCACTGGCGTAGGAAGTAAAATGGAGCTTGAACGTTTCTTGTACAAATGCGAGGTTTTTGCCTTTTCTAACTTGATTTATCGCAAATAAAAAATGTTCCAATCTGTTTAATATCTGTTTGCATAAATTTATAAATCACACTTTTCGCGAGTGATCTTTATCACCTTCAGTGTCTTGCATACTCCGTCTTAAGAGCTTCTACTAACCCTCAAATTCAAACCCAATGTTCGCGATTCATAGAAAGCAAAAATGGCCTGCTGCAGACATAATATGCTCTCAAACATCATACAACCCGAATCAGTCACCTTTAATATGGTCAAATTGCTTTAAAATACGGTCCTTTAGAAGAATTAATAGTCCCTTTCAAAGTTGGTGCCGGTGTGACTCTGAAATACATCACTTGAAAAATTGACGTGAATACAGTCGACTTATAGGTTCGCTATTGGGGTAAATATACACCTTTTTAAGATACATTAAGTACGGAAGAATGGAAAAGTGACACGTTTTGTTCGATTTTGGAATGTGGCGCTTTTGAAATAGACGGGGAGGGGCGTCGTTCAAGTTGAAGATTCGTTGAGTTGAAGGGATACGCACTCGTAGTCTTTGTTGGGACAGTTTTCAAATGATCCAGATGAAAAAAATCTGTTTACAATAAGTACATAACAGGGTGATTCAGAAAACAGTGGCTCCACTTCTAAAGCATAAAATAGATAAAAAAATCCATATATTTATGGCTCCTAAAATCACCCCTTACCGAGATACAGAGTGATGAAGATATAATTTCGACACCTAAAAAAACGATATGTTCGGAATGGATTAAGGTAGTGACTTATGATTTTGTACATGCAGTACTAACAGCCTAGCCAATACATACAAACATTTTTGTAGCTCTACTTTACCAGTGGCTAAAAAATACGGAAATGTTAACCCCTACAGAAGAAAAAAGAAAATTATTTTATACGCCATTTTTGAATAAGATTTGATTTCCACATAAATCGCCTCTCTTGAGAAATTTTTGTCAGAGTACTCCTTTTGGAGAAAATTGGTTTGAATAGTTGAGGTAAAATCCATATAAAAACCTTCAACCGTTTGAATCTAAAAATGCATTGAAATTAGTGAAGTTCAACATTGAAAATTGTATGTAGTGAATTGGGAAAGTAATCTTACCTGACTCTAGCGTTGTTGAAACAATATTCATGTTTTGTACTTATAAAGTCATATTTTCGGATGTACGTTTTCATTTAGAAATACTGTCATTGTTTTTTAATCACCCCGTACAATGCTATTCAAAAGGCTACTTTTTTTGAACGGGTTAAGTTAGCAAGGTGAACTTTGGTGTAATGAAATTGATACGCAAAGGGGGCATTTGAAAATTTCAAGATGACGGTTGATCGCCATCTTTCAATTCAGTGCAATTAAAGTCAGAGCATGTTAAATATAGTTTATTCCGAAGACCTGTCATAGTCACAACTTAGATCTTATCCCACAAATTGCCCAATAAATACAATCATATTATTTTGTTTTTCCCTCAAGAAAAACAAAAATGGGTGGTCCGCGATGAATTCTTCGATTTCTTCAGGCATTTTTGCGGTTTGTAGCATTTTATTCATAATACCTGTAACGTTGATAAATTTGTAAAATATGAGAATTTCTGTTTTCCAACTAGATCAATACATAGTTTTCAAGTACACAGTTTCTTAGGCCCGTATCGTCAGTCGTCCCTACAATTGTAGGGCGCCTTTATGGCCTCCTTGATTGTCATAGTTTTCTACTTCTCCGTGTCAGAACTCTATTTTGAGGTTATGTCACAAACATCTATTCGCATCAAATTGTGCTTGCTTTTGAGTTATATTATGTTTTATCAGCCTGAAATTTCCTACAATTTAAAAAGAAAACATATCTTGAAGGAGAGAAAGAAGTATGACAATCAAGGAGGCCATAAACGACTGACGATACGGGCCTAAATGTTAGAAAACTTGAACGAAGCTTTCCCTGCGGAACTTATTTATAAATTTCTTAAAACATTTATATATGGGGAGAAATCATGAAATTGTTTAGCCGCTTAAGGTAGGTTGATCCTTATGCACCATCCCTGACCCCTCGCAGTAAACCTATATATAGTCAACGCCAAACAAAGTGGCGTGCACGTCATCACGATAAAAATTCCCCGACCTAATGCCTAGGTTTCTATCACAAACAATTGCTCTATTGCAGTTTCATATTAATGTGATATATAAATTGTAAAATGGTCATTACTCTCTTATTATGGTTAATAGTCATATAAACATTGTTATTAAAATATCACATAAGTTGCTTTCTGATAAATTTAGACGCATTATGCGAAATAAAATTTTTTGCAAACGCTCCAATCACTTATCGACATGTAAACGCACTAAACCGATTTCGCAGCGTTGACACATTGTCACCTTGAAACTTATTTAAACTGGGAACTGACATTTGTATTAATTTTGACACTGAATCAATTTGTGGCATTTCAAATCTTTATAAATCCTTTGGCCCCGCATACTGTAAATCAACAACTGTTTGTTTCAAAACAAAATTATTCATTTTACGAGTAGATAAAGGCAATTTTGGTATATAAAGATGCCCAAACAGTTAAATAGTCGGTGTAAGGAACTCGTGGCCTCGTTAATGCACTACTTTGAGCAAGAAAGGGACAACAACGGGCCTTTGTTGCCTTTAAATGCTGTTCAAGAGGTAGGTTACTAATAATTATATGTAATGTATATTAATAATAGCGAAATTTTATTTCATTTTTTGTAGCGTGTTGCTGCTGCTTTAAAAATTAGTTTAAGGACAGTTAGTCGTATTTCCGAGGGTGTGAAAAGTGATGCAAATTTAGAATCGCCCAAGAAAAAGCGGAGTTATATTAAACGTGTAACCAACACAGCGACATTGGATACAAGTGCCATTCGAGAAGTGATCTATAATATGTATCACAAAAGTAAGATCTTATTATAATAACTTATCAGAAATTTGCATTAATTTGTTAACTAAATTATAATGTCATATTACACATGGTTTCAGAAGAACAAGTTACGATACAAACTTTATGGTCTCGATTAAGAGATAGGGCATTATTTGATGGTAGTGCCACGTCTTTAAGGCGGTTGCTTAGAGATCTTGGATTTAAGTGGCTTAAGGACAATCCGCGACGAGGGCTCATGGAACTACCAAGTATAGCTTTGAAAAGGGTGGAATTTCTAAGGCAATACAATCAAGCCAAGGTTGAGGCCTTATACCAGTTTGTCTTCCTCGATGAAACTTGGATATTTCGAAATGGGACCATAGGTCGCTCTTGGCAAAATGGAAACCAAAAAAGCGTGAAAGCTATTAAAACAGATGGTAAAAGGTATGTACTTTTACACAATTTGCACTATAAAATTTAATACTAATATATTTTAGATACATTATATTACATGCTGGAAATGAAAATGGGTTTATTGAGGGTAGTGAAGCGATATTTTCTTCGAAAACAAAATTGAGCGATTACCATGGAGAGATGAACCAGGACAATTTTTTGAAATGGTTTCAACATCAGTTATTAGAAAAATTGGAGAGTCCATCTATGATTATACTGGATAACGCCCCTTATCACAGCATGATATTGAACAAAGTGCCCAACAATGCATGGACAAAAAAAAATATCCAAGACTGGTTGACAAATCAAAACATACCATTTTTAAACACAATGTTTAAAACAGAGCTATTGAGTATTGTTGCTCGGTACATAATGCTTCTTAATTATATATATTTTGGTCGACAGTTTATATTTCTTTTGTTTATTCCTATTCTTAAAATAACTGCTTTTTTAGAAACAAACCACCTAAAATATACGTGATTGATGAATTGGCGGAACAACATGGGCACAAAGTTCTTCGTCTGCCTCCTTACCATTGTATATTTAACCCTATTGAGTTAATTTGGGGCATAGCAAAAGGTTACTATAACAGACATATTGGTAGAGATGGTAACAGTGAAAAAGACTGTTTGGATATGTGGAACGAGGCTCTACAAACGGTTACCCCAGACATGTGGAAAAATAGTGTTCGACATACTGAGCAAGAAATTTTTAAATGGTATGAAAGAGAACGAATTTTTGATCGACCAGACATCGAACCTTTAATAATCAACTTTGAGAGTGATGAAGATTCAGATTCAGACAGCGCTGAAGAAAGAAACTCCGACTAACTTTATTGTACAGAAAAAGCTTACACCAGTAGCTTACCTAATTTTAGAATGCATTTTTCTGTATGAATTCTGTAAAATAAATACCATGCATAAAATTTGGAGGACCCCATTTGGATTTTTATTCAGTTCCTTTAAGCTATCAATTAAATATGGTAGTTTCATAGTGCCATCTGATCAATAATTGTCATACTTAATGATTATGCAAGTACAGATCTATAATTTTATTATACTATTATTTTTGTTCTCATTTGAGGTTAATATTGCTTATAAACCTAGATATGTAAATAATAAATTTTATTATTTTACAAAAAGTTTGGCAACAATGTAAATTTTTCAACACACCCACCTTGATGACGTGCACGCCACTTTGTTTGGCGTTGACTATACGTTTTATATTTCTATTCAATGCCTTCAGACTTCAGACATCAACGTCCTTGTTCAGATGGTGGCACTTGACCCACAAGTAAGTAAATTCTTTGACAGCTCTGTCATTAAATTCATATTTTTAGTCTTATTTTTTAAAAGTGTGAGTGTTTGCAGATAATTGTGGTGTTAGACGATTTCATTTTCTTACATAATTTACAACGAGCGGATAAGCCTAGTAGGAAAAAGTGGCCTGGCACGTGTACCTTCTAGAAATGAAAACGGTCTGCAACCCGCTGGGGACAAAAATGTGCCAAGTGATGTTACCCCACAACATGTTGTAGACCGTTGTGATTATTACAAAATAATGGATAATTATTCTGTTTAAGTAACAGCAACGTGCTTACCATACGTAGCTGATGCGGCCTCTACTCCTTTTTCGGTAACATTGATAAAAACTTTTTGCCTTAAAGATGAAACTGAAAGTCCTTTCTGTAAAGATATTCCGCTTAAATCAGCTGAGCTGTTGAATAAAGATTTGACACCTTTCTGAAACGATTCAGGTGATTAAGCCTCAACCATAGAGAGTTTCAGGAATAAATGAAATCGGTTATGCCGATGAACATAGATCAAAGGTTACTATAAGACCATTGATACTATAGTTCCACTATTCTCTAGAATCATGAAAATTATGGTAATTTAAATTAGGTTTGTCTTGATAGATATAACAATTTTTATTCCTAACAGCGAAAACTATAAGACTTAGTAGGTCATGAAGTGACCTATATATAGTTGCAGGATTATCCTTCAATTCAAGTGCTAGGTTTTTTATTTTTCAAATTAAGTTAGAAATACTATACCATGCGTTATTATTTAAATACTAACCTCCTTCAGAAAAGAAACCAAATCCAAGGTAATTTGAGTACTAAACTTAGGTAATTTGATATGAACTTTTCTCTTAGAGAACTGTTTGTGGTTTATATAGTTCTCGATAGTCCCTTTCATGCTACTTAAGCCATGTTTTGCATCAGGGAGTATGAAAATCATAGTTATATTTTCAGTAGTAAAAGGTAGCTCTAGAAACTTCACTTCTAGTTCCTTACTGTGCCAAAACTTTGCTATGTGGCGAGACATTTCCATCATGTGTACTTCTTTTTGTCCTCCTAAGAAATCAGCCAACCAGAAAAGAGCAAAATCACTTCATCTTTTTCCTAAAGTAAATGATCAGAGAATTGTAAGTATTTATAGACCTGCACCATTTTCATTACAAAATAGTCAAAACCTTATTTGATGATTGTTGAATTCCACTGAGTATAGATAATTAACTAGTTTTACATAAATAAACTAGTTTTATATACGAGGGTGGTTCCAGAAGTACCCGGCCTGACCTAGAGATAGCGATAGTTCTTTGAAAAATATCATTGTATTAGAAAGTATGCAACCTATAAAGCATATGTGTCAAGTTTGAAGACGCCACGTTGTTTAGTATTTCTTTGGCAGCCATCAATACTGAACGTTTTCAGTGAATTTGTGAAAATGGAGAAAATTGCTCATCGTTATGTGGTACAATAATTTTATTTCAAAGGCCTCAGCCCATCCAATATAAAAGCTGAACTAGATTCTACTCTGGGTGGGTCTGCTACTTCGTTTACAACAGTAAAATATTGGGTAGCAAAGTTTAAACGAGACCATATGAGCTGCCAAGACGAGCATCGCAGTGGTGGACCAAATGAGGTGACGACTCCAGAAATGGCGAAGAAAATTCACAACGCGGTACTGAATGATCGTCGACTGAAAGTGCGTGAGCTAGCAGACATAGTAGGCATTTCAAAAATTGCGGTTCATCGCAAATTATCTGAAAATTTGGACATGAGAAAGCTGTGTGCAAGATGGGTGCCGCGATTGCTCACAATCGAGCAAAAACAGTGTCGTGAAGATATTTCAATTGAGTGTTTAGCCAAGTTTCACAGCAACAAAGCAGAATTTTTGCGTCGTTTCATAACCATGGATGAAACATGGGTCCATCACTTCAAACCCGAGACAAAAGAACAATCAAAACAATGGACTCAAAAGGGACAACCGGCTCCAAAGAAGGAGAAGACCGTTTCATCTGCAGCCAAGGTTATGGCGTCGTTTTTTTGGGATGCTCGTTGGATAATTTTCATTGAGAAAGGTAAAACTATCAACGGCGAGTATTATGCGAACTTACTGCAATGTTTGAGCGATGAAATCAAGCAAAAACGGCCGCATTTGGTTAAGAAGAAAGTGTTGTTTCATCAAGACAATGCACCAGCTCACAAATCCGTTATTGCAATGGCCAAAATTAACGAATTAAAGTTTGAATTGCTACCTCATGCACCCTATTCACCAGATTTAGCCCCCTTGGATTATTTTGTTATCAAACTTGAAAAAATGGCTCACTAGTCAAAGATTTTCCAAGATGAAGAAGTGATGTCGGCAGCTAATGGCTATTTTGAGGAGCAAGACAGTTCTTATTATAAAAAGGGTATCGAACTTATTGAACATCGTTGGAAAAAGTGTATAGAGCTCAAAGGAGATTATGTTGAAAAATAAATATACTAAGTGACATATAAATCCGAACACCTAGTTTAAATGGTTTTATTTTAATAAAATTTTGTATAAGTACTTAATGAAGCATAATAAGTAAATGATAAAAATTTCAAAATGATTGCACTGCTTTAAAGCCCTTTGACCTTTAATAATGTTTGGATGCACCCTGATGAAGATTAAGGGTGACCTGGAACCATAAGCTATAGCACCCCAAACCATAACTCCAACAGTGTGATGAACATGTCTTTCAACAAAAAACCGTGGATTCCTCCTTTCACCACGTCGCCTTCTAACCCTTACACCGACGTAATCGCCTTGAGTGGTGCAGACAACGGTCACTCTGGGATCAGGAATGGAACAGTATTGTCTTTAATGACGAGTCTCGATTTTGTTTAGGCATGCACGATGGTCGTGCTAGGGTTAGAAGGCGACGTGGTGAAAGGAGGACAGTTTTTTGTTGAAAGACATGTTCATCACACTGTTGGAGTTATGGTTTGGGGTGCTATAGCTTATGGTTCCAGGTCACCTTTAATCTTCATCAGAGGTAACATGAACGCGCAGCGTTATATCCACGAAGTTCTAGAACCCCATCTTTTACCCTATCTTGACACCCTGGCAGATCCAACTTTCCAACAAGATAATGTCCGACCACATGTTGCAAAAGACAATAGACTTCTTTCAACATAATGATGTCACATTGTTACCATGGCCACCAAGATCTCCCGACTTATCCCCAATTGAGCACGTGTGATATATGATGGGTAGGAGATTGCTCAATTTGCAACGTCCTCCTCAGACTCTAGAAGCACCTCGAGAGGAGTTGGTGGTTGCCTGGAATGAGATACCACAGGAGGACATTGACCACCTGATCAGAAGCATGCCTAGGCGCGTTGGAGAATGCGTAGCACATCAGGGTGTATCCACACATTATTAAAGGTCAAAGGGCTTTAAAGCAGTGCAATCATTTTGAAATTTTTATCATTTACTTATTATGCTTCATTAAGTACTTATACAAAATTTTATTAAAATAAAACCATTTAAACTGGGTGTTCGGATTTATATGTCACTTAGTATACATTTTTTTACAAAAATTTTGTGTTGTCTTCGTTGAGTCGGGTACTTCTGGGACCACCCTCGTATGTTACCGGCCAAACCCGACTTTAGGATAAACTAGTTTTTCCTGGGCCAAATCAGTGTATCCGAAGAGCGATAGGATGAACTAGTTTATATTAGTCTAAACTGATTTGTCCTAAAATCAATTAAGTGTGATTAGACAATACTGATTTGTCCTAGTCTACATATAGTCTCTTCACAAAAGTAATGTTTTTACTACTAATTGAAGAAAATACTATTATTACAAACATTTTTAATAACTTTTATTATTTACTTATTATTTTTCTTGCAACGGCATCGATTTGACGTACACTTCTTGGTGCAACTACACTTAAAGAAACCTTGGCCTGCTCCAACTGAATGTTTGATTACTGCGGTTTCACTTCTTCCACTAAAACCTTTTTTGGGCAGATATCAAATTCATTTCTGAACTCATCAGCGGTGAGATAATACTTTATATTATTTGTATTGTCTTCATTTCGTGTGGTAAGTTTCTTTACACCTCCGATTTCCACCACATCAAATCTTTTCAGTCTTGTTTGTTGCAAGAGTGATTTCTTTTGAGTTTTTTCAGCCTCTTCCACTTGATGCATAAGTGCCAAAATACTTTTCCTTTGTCAAAACATTAAAATTGGTTAAATTTTCATCCTCAGATCTTAAAACCTCTTTCAAGAATCCCTGCATCCACTCTTTTTGACCTACGTGTTGACTACCTCATCCATGATAACGAGATACAGAAATACACTCCGAACTTTAGATCAAAAACTAAACGAGGCAAACGCATAACGCACGCAGCTACCTTTTAACGAGTTCAGATTAGTTAAATCTCGGTCCGAAGTAGTTTAGACTAGGACAAATCAGTTTTTCATAATCATAATTAATTTATTTCAGGATGAACTAGTTCATCCTATCGCTCTTAGGATAAACTGATTTGGCCTAGGAAAAGCTAGTTTATCCTAAAATCGGATTTGTCCGGGAGCATATACACACAAAATAGATCAATAAAATAGACGCATTAATATGTATGTATTCTCGGCACCGTACTGTTTCAATCCTGTATAAAAGTTACGTATACGTTAGCTCTTCTTCACAGGGTTAATAAGCTATGATGTGTGCAACAAACATGGCTAAAACGGGTGCAGAGCGTCAAGTCACCAGTAATATTTTCCGAGACGCCCAGAAACATTTCACACTTCATTTTGTTTTAAGTACCATCTCCTAACGAATTAAAAATACTTAAAATATATAAATATTTTTGTGTTTCTATTGGTTTCGAATAATATAACCCCAATTCGGGTAAAGAATGACCATCACAGGTACCCTTTTTTGTGTAACGGACTAACTGCCCGACACATGTCAATCCGTGACATACAGGTTTTTTGCAGATGTCTACCTATTATTTAAATATAGTTCCTGATTGTATTACTTTGAAAAACGAACTCTCATTTAGTCAAGACATTTAACAGAACTCACAGTTTTTCCATTCTCTTCAGTGAATTATGTGAATGATTACAACAGTTGAGTTTCCATTACTGTCAGTCCGTGACGTTCTACTTTTACAAAATCTTTATATCAAAAAATCCTATCAAACTTATTTGTGATTCGTCAAAACTTGATAAGAAAAATGTGCCCCAAATGCATCGTTGATAAAGTTATTGCTTTATCTATTACCATAATTATTCAGTATGGCATAAAATGTGTGATTGTCAATCTGTCACGCGTGGATTTGCTCTAAGGCTCAAGAGAAAGGCCTACCAACCATATGCTCTCCTTAGTACCCTCAGTGACCCCTATCCCCTATGGTTTAAAATACCTCTCCCAATGAAACGCCCTGTATAAACAATAAATTACTTTTATTGATAAGAGTGATGCTCACCGTTTGAGACATAGAACTTCGCTGGAGATGTATGTTTGTAGCGAAACGGCCTTGCCCACGAGGCGCTGAAATAGATAACGTTGACTAGAATAATTGTAGCAGCATCTAGCTCATTGGAATGTATCAAATTATGGATTTTGTGGTTGGTCTGGTCTTCAACCCATTGATTGATAACCTTAGATACCTCATGGGCTTTTCTGAAATCCACCGTTTCAACAGTGGTGTTGTAAATGAGAAGAGAGATATTCTTGAACGTTGCTTCTATTTCGTAGTTGTTAGAGATGTAGACCTTGTTAACCGAAACTATTTGGTAGTCACAAGTGCTCTGGTTTAGCGATTTTACGATTCTTAAAATGACGTCGTATCTATCAGATGACACACCAAGGTAGTCAGTAAGCTCTGAAAGTGCATCTCCTCTCGCTCCTTCTGCTATTAGTGACAAAAGTATTTCGGCAGACAGCGGGCTTACCACGAAGTTTCCCTTATTCTTTCCAGCTAAAAACTTATAACCTAATTAGTTGAGTTGATCTCAGGAGAACATTTGAGATACTCATTTCTATTGTCATTGATATTATTGTGGAATGTAAAACATAAATACTTGTAGGTTAGAAAGGGTTAATCATATCTTATATTCAAATTACAGCTTCTACGACCTCTATACAGTGAACTAAACATACCTCATAAACATCTGCAGAATATTTAAGATGTTTTACATAAAATTCTTCTGCATTACAGTTCTGATTCCCATTTGTTAAAAGTATAATTTCCAACACCACAACAACTCGGATACCTTTCATATTTCTAACTGAATAAACATCGAGCTTATACAATAGGATTGTTATATTTTCATATCAGTACTGTAGTCGTTAAACTGTGTTATTCCAAGCATGGATTTTTTATCACTAAATCAAGTCTTACAAAACGCATTAAATTATGATAATGCAATTTTTATCCATCGAGTGGATCTGAAATAGATGACAAGCGTCCTATATGAATTCTTTTTTGAGTGTATTATGTTCATCTAGCTTGGAGACACTTGTACTGGTGGCATAGAAGTAATTATTCCTATAAAGTATTTTCATCTAGGGGTGGATTTACCGCAACTAGTTATAATCAACAAATTTGAAATTCGTATTATCGTATAATCTAATTCATGCTAGAATACCTCGAATTTTCAAGGCGACATCTAACCACAACCACGCGGCCGGTTATAGCCACTTGCTGTGGTACTTCAAGCCCAAAGGATCTACAAACCTACACATTTTATACTACAATGTGTAGGTTGGCTCTTGTTGTGAACTTGGTGTGTGATTTTGTTCCCTCTCCATCTTCGTTTCCCCAGGTTACACCGTATCTGGATGTATGGGTATGTGTATCTACTTTTATAGTTGCATATATGCATTCATTTCGGGACCGATGAAGCTAACTAGCAGAAATACATATCGCTCGGGTTACCTATCCTATTTCCTGCTCAAATCTACTTTCCTTCTTTATGCGGATTTTGCCCATTATTTTCCTATTTTTTGTTATATATATATATATATATATATATATATCGATTTTAAAAGGGATGAACAGAGGAAGAAAAAATATATGATAGCACCTACCTGAGACAATTAAGGAATGAAAATAAAGGACTAAATATGAAAATTGAGTATAACTCTTACTAGAAAAAGGAAAGAAAAATTGTTAAGTGTGAAAGTGTGTTAGAAATTTTAGGAAAAATGGTAAAGCCAAAAGAAAAGCAGAATAATACTATTCTACTCAACCTTCCCGATGAAGTGAATAAATTCACTCGTACACTAAATATATACAAAAATTTTCTTGCTACAGAACCTAGCTTAATAAAACTTAATATAAACAAAGAGGCTAAAACAGTTAAAACATAGATAACTAGAATTCAGAACACGGAAACTATTGAGCGAAGGTGTTACCAATGATGATTAGAAAATATATAGTACACTAAACAAGATCATAATAACAGTAAAGATAAGAACCAAAAATTCTACCGTTGTCTGAGGCAGTACAGCTATCCAAGTAATCACTTTTCGGAAATTTGAGTGATGGGTCGTAGATCAGAGAGGTCTGAGACTGTTTTAACCTTAGGTAATGGTTTCCAAGCATCTGGAGAGCAATAAGCCAGCAGCTTATGAAATCGGAGAGGGGAAGCAAAATTGTTGGAAGGCAGTGTTTCAGGATGATCGCTGAAATACCATCAATCCGAGTTGCATTTAATTGTAGGGACAACAGTATCGAAGACAATACGTTCACTAACAGGCTCAAATTGAAATGATATATTTTCATTAAATTTCACATGACGAATGGAATCCACCGAATCAGGGAATTATTCGGAGGGGAGGATACGGAATAAAAATAGCTCTTAATAGCATCGACATCATTGATCTTTGCAGGAATCTCAGTTGTATATATTTTTATTCGTTAGACCAGTAGAGGCATCTTTTCATAGAGTTTTATTGTCAGACTGTGCTAGGTAATAGTTTAAAAACACTTTTTCTTCGCCTACAGCATTACATCTAGCATTTCTTAGGTCACGGTAGTTTAAACTCCTTGAGGGATGCGTCCCGTGTCTTCATAAGCAACTTAACATTATATGTGGGCCAGGGAGCATAAGGTTTAGTTATGCATGATGATGCGAAAGGTGCATGAATGTTAAATGAAGCTAAAATATTGGATGTTAAAAACTCAACCTTATGCTCTAAATTGTTCCAGTCATAAATATTATCCCTTGGAACAGTATTTGAATCATTCAAAACAAATCTTTAGAACTGTTTCCTAAAATCTTTGTATTGGATAAATTTTGATCGAATTTTATAATGCTTATGTTAAAAACACAAAATACTGCGCTATGATCCGACATACTATCTTCTGGGTGTACGCTAGAGCTGACCACAAGATCGGCAATGCTAGCACTCGTTAAAATCACATCAATACAAGTCTCACTTGTGGGTGAGGTTGGCTCGGGGATTTGTGATATAGTCATACGAGGAAATACAATCCAAGATTTTATGATCACGAAGCTGGCCAATGTTAATATCGCCGAGTAACTCATAACCATCATACTGTGGTGAGAAGAAAGACAGAACGTTATCAAGATGTTCGATAAATAGCAGCGTACTATACGCTGCTATTTATCGGTGTCCAATAAATACTACGACAAACTTAAGGAGAAGGTAGGTTTTGGACTGATCTCTCAAATAACAAAAACTTACCTATATAAAGGTGTCACCGTTTTTGAGATATTGAATTTTTGCTTAAATTTTAAAAAAGAACCTTTTCATCTGAGATCTTTAGCTGCATGTACAAATAAGGTCCTACTTTAATCATTTTTTCTATAAAATACTTCTGCATTTATTGAATGAAAGATTGCTCATTTAATACAGATTTCAGAACGGCGCCACACGTACTATTTGGAATAGAAAAAAAGTGATATTTGTAAGTGTCTGACACACACTACAATGTAATTATTGGATTTAAATTTAAGTTACCGACGAATGACATTCTAAATAGTACAACACAACAATATAATGCAGTTATAACCATTATATACATACATTTTTGTTTCACCACAGATGGTCAAAGCTGAGAAAAAAATATCAGAAGGTTATAAATCCCAAAATAGTCCTTATTTGATCATGGTTACTTAAACTACATTGCATTTGTATATGATAAAGCAACTATCTAGAAGTATTTTATAGAAAAAATGAACAAAGTATAACCTTATTTGTACATGCAGCTAAAGACCACAGATGAACAGGATCGTTTTTTTTTAAATTTAAGAAAAAATTCAATATCTCAAAAACGTTGACACTTTTATATAGGTAAGTTTGTGTTATTTGGGAGGTCAGTCTAAATCCTACCTTCTCCTTAAGTTTGTCGTGGTACTTATTGGATCTCCTGTATATACAGGGTGTAAACGTTATGATAGTCATTATTTAAATGGGTGATAGAGGGGGGTAAAAGGAGCAAACAGTTTCATATAACATGGGGGTCAAAGCGGAATTTTTTTTTGAGAAAAGCGACTTTAAAGTAAAATAAATCTGACAACTCCGCAAAACTATGCAAAAGGATAACTAGCAACTGTTACCGTTTGCGATCGATTGCCGGTTCAATAAGAGTGATGATGTCCGACGCGCTGTTGCCAAGTGTGTTTTAAATATTCAATTTAATGAAACTTACTTCCTTACTAACTACAAATTTTGACTTAACTTAGAAAAACGTAATGCCATTTATTTGTTAATTACAAAATTTAAAAACGTTTTAGATTAGATTATAAAAATTACTAAGATTGTGGTGATTGTGGTCGATATAAAACACTTAAAGTTGTAAACTATAAAGCCACTTAGACAAAAATCTATTGACTTTTGGACCATCGGTCATATGAACTTTTTGCCTTGTTTTGACCCTCCCTATTACCCATTTCAATAATGACTACCATTCCGTTAACACCCTGTATAATATTAATTAAATTAAGTAAATGCTCGATACCTAACGGAGACGTAAAACCGTCAAATACTTCTTTACGTGGAATATTGTTTCTTGCATATAATGCTACTCACCCCCCTCTACCTGAGCGATCCTGGTGGAAGAAATTGTGATTTAGAATATGTAGAATATTAGATGTTTCATTGTGATTAATCCGAGTTTTAGACGCATACCATATTTTTTGGAGATTTCCAGGTCACTAAAATTGTAACCTATAAATAGAGAATGAGGAATCTTACTCATCACGGAAATACTATTATGTGTTGCATCTCGGAATTGAAGGTCATTTGTTTTTAGTTAGTAGAACAATTTTACTGTGACTAACCCTTCCCCCCCCCAGACGACGCGAGCAGTCTTTGAAAATATAAAGTATGCGCATCAAAAAACACTTTGAGAAATTTCCTTGGCTGTCCTATTCAGAGGAACTACAAGGGCTTTTTTGTAAATATTGCGAGGTTTTTGAAAAATTAGGAGGAGTACATAAATCAACTAAATTGGGAAAACTTGTTCCCGTACCACTAAAGAAATTTTCGAAATTGTATGGCAAAACCGGTGATTGTAAGACACATGAGAACTCAGTATGTCATACAGCAGTTTCAGATGCTACAAACTTTTTAAAGATTTACGAAAATCCATGACAAAAGAAATATAATAGGTTCAGAGCGAATTAAGTAAGTATCAGAAAATCGGCAAAGATACTACTATAATAGAATCTATAATTTTTTTAGGACGCCAAAATATACCATTTAGAGGGCATAGAGATAGGGGATGACTTTTTTCTAATGACAGCACGAATGACGAGGATGTCCTTAATAATGAAGGGAATTTTAGCGAATTAATACGGTTTAGAATCGAGAGCGGCGACAATTTATTGAAAAAAAACTTAGAGAACTCAAAAGCGCAGCCGCATCCAAAATTATAGAATGTTGTGGCTAAGAAATCTTGGATATAGTTTTAAGTCGCGTCAGGCAAAGTCATTACATTATTATATTTGACGAAACTACAGGTATTAGCCATTAATCACAAATATCAATCGTATTGATTTGTGGATTGCTACTCAAATTTTGATGAAGATACAATGGAGCCCAAACTCACAGGTCAAATTCTTGTTCAAACAGTCAAGCATTTCATTAAAACCAATAACTTAGACTCAAAACTATGTGTGGGCATTAGTACTAATACGTGTAACCTAATTTTAGGTGAACAAAAGGGCGCTGTAATGGAATTGCAAAAATGTTTGCCAAATGCTCTAAAAAGCCCATGCGCAAATATTGCCTTGAATCTTTCGATTTCAAAAATTAGCAGTGTCCAAGCAGTAAGAAATACTGTAGGTATAATGAAGGAAGTAATTGCGTTCTTCAAAGCATCCGCTAAAAGAAATACAGTATTAAAAAGAAAACTAGACGGATATCAAATTCATAGTATGTGCGAAACATGATGGACCGAGAGACATGATTCTGTGCTCCAATTTGAAAGCAATTTCGAAAATTGTAGAGGCACTAAACATTATATCAAATTGGAAAGACCGCGAAGCTTCTTCAGGAGTCTTTGAAGACTGCCATTACTTCCACCCAATTTATCGTATCACTAAAGTGTCAGTCAACCTGAGTAAGATTTAACAGGCCGAGCATAGTCTGATAAGAAAAATCATTACAGACTGAACCTATATGTCCCTTTGCTAGATAATATATTTCAGGGTTTGGTATACCGGTTGAATGAGGAATCTTTGAATATATACAATTTTAATATTTTCTTAGCGTCAGTATTTAATTCAAAAACTGAAGCTGAAGTAGAAGTAGAAACAGTCTCTAAATATTTGCATGGACTAAATAGTAACGAAAACAAAAATTTAATAAGTACCAGATTAAAAGCAGAATTTGACCTTTGGAAGTCACGTACACATGATACTATCGACAGTGGAATGTCACTGTATTTATCATGTGATGAAAACATTTTTCGTTCAATTAATAGATGCCTACAATTATTGATTTCATTACCGGTAAGGGTTGCGACATCTGAAAGAAGTTTCTCCCATCTAAAGAGGATAAAAACTTGGCTGCGCTTCACTATGTTACAAGAGCGATTAGTGGGCTCTTTTGCATATGCATAGGGATATTAAAACAGACGTGAATACAATCATAGATCGGTTCGCAATCAAAAAGAATAGGCGCCTTGATTTTGTAATATGATAACACCTGAACTTTGCCTAAGGTTGTCTCTCAATCAGATCTCCCTTCTGTTGGCAAATAAATAAAAAAGCAGATGTAGTTAAGGGTTTACTTACGTTTAAACCACCGCGGGGATCTTTTCCAAGGTATCCAATCAAGATATGTGGTTTTATTTATTGGCCAGCAGATTGATATAAAAGTCTGTTCAAATTATGTTCAAATCACTTTCTAAGCTAATGTAATGATTGTTTTATTTTGAGACTATGAACTTATGCAGTTTCATAGTTTATATGTTTTTGTTTTTTGAGAATGGCTAAGATAATGTAGTTATGCAATGAATGTTTTTTGTGTTTTTCTCATGATTAAGAATTTTATTTTGATTTAAATTATATGTTATTGTTATTTTTTTTTTCATGAAGATTTATTTTTTGTTGTTTTGCCTGACATTGTTATATAGAAAACTCTATGGTAGATTATATTATTTTGCATTTTTGTTTTAATATATGAAGACTGCTCGAGCTTGGTCTGCTTTATTTATACTTTGATTTCGTATGACTCAAAATAAAAAAAAATTGTATGTATTTTCTACATAAATTACTGTAACAAATTCATATGTCTGCATATGTCCATGCTTTTAATGTTAAGTCATTATAACACTTTAGTACGTCCAACTGACAATTTACTTTCAATTTTACCCCTCCCAGACTGAAATCCTGGGAGCGCCACTGTATACTACAGAGTCTAATTGCTTTCCGGCACAGGAGTAGCCAGAAAAAGGAAACATCAAAATGCTGAAGTCTACATTTTTTCAGGGTCTTCAAACTTTGAGTGCATCTTTAGACGGAATCTGGAATTTTACAAAGCCTCCTGTAACCATAAGTACTTTTCAGAAAAAGACGCCATGCAATGGTGTGACTTATTTTGGCCCACTAACCATTGAGAAATTTATACAAATCGCAAATCGTTTAATAAGCCTGGTGGGTTTGGTAAATTATGGTAAATTATGCAATGTACGAAAAAGCAATTTATTAAATGGATATGTAATTTACATTCAAGTATACGCTCTGTTTAGCTTCATCCCTTGTAACTGCCAACAAACAGGACCACGTTGTGTGTCCTCTCTTTTAGAACATACAAGAATGGATGATCTGCGATGAAGGTCGCATCAGGCTGAAGTACCGATGTTGGGGTTATACCAACAGCTGGAATCATTTATTAGCTATGAGATCGTGGAACATAACCAGATAGAAAAAAGCGATAAAACCACAAAAATCATGAGCACGAATATTGCCCGTGAAGGTGAGATGTATATATTTTACCCAATTAATGCGAACTTCTGAGATATTATCATGTTTTTAGTAAAACCAATTAATGCATAAAGTTATGTTCAAGGTGGGGCAAAAATAATGCCATGATGAGAATTTGCCATGAATTTTAAAATTATCAAAAGAAATAACAGACAATAAACAAAAGAATAAGATACACTGTAGTCTCTTAGAAAGCGACAAACTACAAAACCTGCAAGCTTTGGGAGCCAACATTTAAGAAAAAATCGCCAATTTTGTTCATCGAATATATTAAAACAAAGTAAAACGGGCAAATATGTATGTGTTTCAACTGATGTTTTACCGATATTATTCTATCAACCTAAATAGTGACCATTTTTTAATCTACAAGATCATAATGGCAGGCAGTTTACATTATGGTATAAGTTTTGTAGGTACCTCCTAATACATGCAAAAGGACTTTTGGGAGATACATCTTAGGTTAAATTGGGAAAAAGCTGCGTTCTTTGGGGCGTATTTACATGCTGCTGAGAGACTTGTAGAAAAAAAGTTGTAGCAAAAACGAAGTAAGCGAAACCGTAAAAGGATTTGGTGTGGAAAATGTATCAGGTAGACAGACCGGGGTATGGGTGTGCTCCATATTATGCTGCATAAAGAACTTTTAGTGAAGGATCCACTGGCTTATAGGCCTAATCGGTTCTAAAGTTATTCAACACAGCTTATTTGATGTTTATAGGCCGTGCTTCTAGAGCATATAAACAATCATATTTCTCATACCTACTCGTTTAGTAGTATGTCCCACTGCTTTTTTGATCATGATATCTTTTAAGTTTCTCAATCTACAAGTAGAACAGCATAAGTAGAGGAGTTTCTGCCAAACTGATCAACACAATTGATCACAACAACTGATGAACATATTAGAGGTTAGGCTTGTTTTTTCAACCAATTACCATCTCATCTAATCATCACAAAACATCAAGAGAATATCAAGGAATTAACACTGAACATGTGATTACTTGTCACTTAGCGCTTCTAACATCCATTGTACTGCCCCAAATTCGCAGTAGGCGTCTGTGCACTTTTAGCATGATATTATTTAGAACAGGTTCTAAAGAAATTAGCCCTCAATTTGTTCATACAAAATTATATACTAAATGCTTTCTGACACTATACTTAATTTTGTACAAAATTTAGTGTACTACATCTAGCACAAAATTTCGTATCGTGACAGACGGCCTGTAGGTTTAAAATAACATCCTATACCCCAAAGTATCATGAAAATGGTCACAATTCAGAAAATTGCCTTCAATCGCATACTCAGTTAAAGGTCCAAGTACAAAAATTAACCTACAAGTGCCGAGTGAATGATTATCTGACCGGAATGTTTTAGTTCCTAGAACAATTTTACTGTGGGATTGTCATATATTATGGGGTCTAATGCTTTTCAGCATAGGAGTGGCGAGAAAATGGAAAAATTATCAAAACGCTGAAATATATTTTCTCCAGGATCTTGAAACTTTTACGTCTTCACATTGAACTGTTCGACGTAGGAGTCTGGAATTTTACAAAGCCGCCAGCATTCATCCTTTTCAGAAAAACGCCGCCGTACTATGTTGTGTTCTATTTTAACCCACTAGCTATTGAGCAATTTTTAAATATCTCAAGCTGTGTAATAAGACTGCTGGGTTTGATAAATTATATGCAATGTACAAAAAAGCAATTTATTAAGCGGATATGTAATTTGCACTCAAGTATGCGCTCTGTTTAGCTTCATCCCTTGTAACTGCCAACAAAGAGGACGATGTTGTGTGTCCTGTCTTTCAGAACATACAAGAATGGATGATCTGCGATGAAGGTGTCCTCAGGCTTGGGCGGCTGAAGTGCCGATGTTAGGCCTATACCAACAGCTGAAATTGTTTATTATCCATGAGATGGTGGAGCATAATTAGATGGATAAAAAAGCGATAAATCCAGAAAAATTATGAGCACGAATATTGCCCGTGAAATGTATTGGGTAACTATATTTTACCCAAAGAATTCGAACCTCTGAAGATGATACCATGTTTTTAGTAAAACCACTTAATGCATAAAGAAAGTTATGTACAAGGTGGGGAAAAAATAATGTCATGATGAGAACGTGCCATAAATTTTACAATTAACAAGAGAAATAATCGACAATAAACAATGGAATAATATAATATAATAATAATAATCAATGCATTTATTTTCAAACAGTTCACAAACAAAAATATCAAAAATAGAAACATCAGTATTAACGAGAAAACTAGATATTACATATATATATATATATATATATATATATATATATATATGGCGAGTTTCTGCAACCTAAGGTCGCTTCTCGCAACCCATGCGCCATCGTATCCTATCGTTCCAGTCTCCTTCATGTAGTCCTCTACTTTCCATTGCGGTATGGATGTTTGAAATCCATTTCCTTCGTGGTCTTCCTCGTTTATTTCTTTGTGCTGGTGTCCATTTCCAAACCCTTAATGGTATCCTTTCTTCGTTCATTCGTTGCAGGTGTCCATACCATTTTAACTGCCTCTCTGTTATATCGTCCATTATTGTATTTTCGACTTCCATTCTTTCTCTGATGGTCTCATTTCTAACATGGTCAAGTAAAGTTAAACCGGAACATCTTCTCCAGTACATCATTTCGGTTGAGAGAAGCTTTTGTGACATATTTTTATCTACAACCCACGCTTCTGACCCATACGTCAGTACTGGCTGAATCATAGCCTGATATATATATTTTTTTTTGTTTTCTTTGTTAGGTTCTTACTCTACAAGATCGGATGTAGTGCTTTAATCATATTTTTTCCTTTTCCTATTTTCCTTAGTATGTCTTTATTATCCTTTCCGCTTTCATCTATTGTAACTCCTAGGTACTGGTACTGTCCGACGTTTTCTATTTTTCCGCTTTTTGTTTCGATGTCTTGTCCTGTGCCTCCTATAGTCATGTATTGTGTCTTTTGTATATTTATCTCCAAACCCCATTTAGTGAATTCTTCTATAAGTTTGTTTATCATGTAAGTCATGTCTTGCTGGTCTTCTGCAAAGACTACCTGATCATCTGCAACGAGGATTGTATACAAGTGAAAGTCCTCTAACCATATCCCCATGGGGCTGCACTTTCTTATCCACTGTTTTAAAGCGCTGCAGAGATAAAAACTAGATATTACATTCTTCAATTGTACACACTGTGATCTGTCACTTAGGTATGAATTAAAAAGTTTTACGCTATCAGTAGATACTCCGCATGACTTTAGAATGCGACAAACCATAAAATTTGAAAGCTTTGAGAGCCTATATTTAAGACGAGGTCGCCAATTTTGGACCAGTCATTCAGCGAACAACATATGAAAATAACGTAAATCGGGCAAATATGTATGTGTATCAACCGAGGTTTGACTGATATTATTTTAACAACCTAATGTTATCATATTTACACATTTACATAAGGTGTTCGGAAAATAGTAACCAGTTTTTAATCTACAAGATCAGCAGGCAGGCAGTTAACATGGTATAAGTTTTGTCCCACCTATGCATGGGGATCTTAATATCTTTGGGAGATACAGCTTAGGTTAAATTGGAGAAACTTGTATAAATTTCATGGCTTACTGAGGTATTTGGGAAAAACTGAAATTTGGCCAGCTCGTGTTTATTTTTTTCTGAATTTATTTTGAGTAATATCAAAAAACTAATGGAACTTCTTCATTGACACTTTTTAGGCACTACATGATGGAGTTTTCAAATTTTGTGCCCGAGAAACCATCATCAACTTAATTTTTTTTATGGACAAAAAGAAGTTCAGTTATTTAAATAGGCGTTGCAAATAAATGTAAGAGATTGCTGATAAATGCATCTTACATATCATATAATGATAAGATGGTATAAAATTTTAGAAAATGATGCTTAAACTAGTGATATTCAGAATAGCGGATACATTTTAAACACTATATTTATTTTATTCACAATAGGTGTTCAAATAGCTTGACTTTATTTTCTAAACATAAATATTATCTTCTAACAATACTAAATGCTTCCTTTCCACATTCTCGTAACTGCTGCTTAGTTTCAAAAGTATGCTGATAAACCTGGTTTTTAATAAAATCCCAAATAAAAAAGTCCAGAGTCAAATCTGGAGAACGCGCTGGCCAGGACACTTCACTGGAGGTTCCAGTCCACCTTCTTGGAAATGTCTGAGAAAGATACTCTCGAACTTGCCTAGAGTAATGTGCAGGAGCACCGTTGTGATGAAACCAACTGCTATTAACGTGTACCAAAGCTAAATTATCCAAGCAGTCTTATAGATCATGATGCATCAATTGAAGGTACCGTTCTGCAGTTAACGAGTTGTGGTAACTAAATAGACCTAATATTTTGGTACCTAGAGTACCACCCACATGCTAAATCCAAAACGTTCCTGAGGTCTGGAGTTTTTGGCGGCGATTAAATATATCCTTATTAGTGACCATACTCTCGTCGGACCATATTATTTTTGAAGAGAAATTAAAATCTTCACACGTTCGTACCACTCACAAAAATGCTGGCGCCGTTCGCTACCCCCTGGTCTAAGTCATTAGCAAATCCTGAATTTATAGGGGTGATGTCTATTCTTACTCAAAATAAATTGGGCTGTGGATATGGCTACTAAGTACCATATTTTTCTGAATTTGCCTACTTGATATCTCAGAGTTCTCAGCAGCTGTTTGTAAAGCACTATTCTGAGTTTCCTTTAAAGATTCCTTTTTTCGGGACGTAACAGGTTTTTGAATGAACCATATTCATTTAAATTTCGAGCCAACTCTAAGAAAATGGACTTACTTGGCTGCCTTATTTCGGCAAATTTATACATTTCTTAAGTATATTTAGTAATTTTGTTCCACAAGATATTTCTTCATTGCTGGCCTGGCTTGGCATCTTTGACGATAATAAAGGAATATTAACAATCCATGATAATAACAATATTCGGTGACTGGTATTTATGACAAGTCAAGCATTTGCTTGCACCGCCTACTTAAAAAAATAAAAAGAAATAGAAGAAACGCATTTTTCCTTATAATCAAGAAAATAAATGTAACATGTCATAGATCGTTGAATTCGTAAAAAATGCTATTAGATACAGTGTGCACTTTTTTTTCGGACCATATAAAAAAATAAAGTTGATGAACCGTCGGGCACAAAATTTAAAAACACCATTATGTAGTGCCTAAAAAGTGTTAATGGAAAAGTATCATTAGTTTTTGATAGCCCTTAAACAGACAGCAGCGGTGGCCGCAGTAGTAGACTCTTGGGTCTCCTGATCAGTCGCCGTGCGCTGTGCGGGTTCGAATCCCGTCCCATGAGAATTTTTTCTCTTGGCTATGGATGTTGTGATTCTCCGTAGGTGGTAGACGGTCTCTGACTGTCGAACGCAAAGGTATCACTCGGCGGATCTCGTAGGCGGAGCCAGCATGTGTGCATGTTGCATGCACACGTGTTCCCTCGCCAGAGTCCGTGTGGCGTCCCCCCTTTTCCCTGTATCCCCCTATAGCCTCACGGTACCCAATGAGTGTTTAGGCCTTAGGCCTTCGTGGTAGTTGGAGTATAAAAAAAATAAAGTCAGAAAAAATAAAAATGAATTGGTCGAATTTTAGTTTTCTCTAAATATCTCAGTGAGCCAAGCAATTTTTAAGAGTTTCTCAACGGCTATATCTCCCACAGGAATTGAGATTCCCATGAATGGGATCCTTATCTTGGAGACCCTGTATATCTCATTTCGCAGAACAATAATGCCAATAGACCCAAAATGTCTCTTGCGCGCGCGTGCAGTATATATATGGTCTCTAATAGCTGTTGAGACTAGTTGATCAGCAATTTTTGTCACATGTCTGGTGGCCTAATCTCGCATAGGCGGACTATAGCAACGTATTGCTCCTAGATAAAATCTCTTTCAAAAACCGTCCAGGGTTACCTTATGCGATTTCTCTGGGAATACATTTGAAAAATATTCAAGATGATACAGTTAGATAGCTTGAGATGGATTTACACTATGAAATCCTATATGGAATGAAATGAGATTGATACTAAATAATTAAGTGTATTTACATATCATTACAGGTGCAAATTATAATATTATATGTCGCCCACTATCTAAAGCTACCAATATACAGTATGCCTTCGTTAACTCTATTTTTTAAAACATATAAAAATGGATGGTCAGCGTTGAATGTCACTGTCACGGATGGTTGGACAGGTAATAGTTCATTACGTATTTGAGCAGCTGAAAGTAGATAGTGTTACTATTAAGAACAGAGTACTAGTTGCTTAGCAAGGTATCATCGCTTCTGTAAATTACTGTACGTATGCAAGCTGCGAAATGGTGTTTCCTAAGCACGAACGTTAAATCTCGTAGGTACGTTAGTTTTATTCGAAATACTTATTTCAGCTGTACTTAAATATGGGTAGGAAGGGTATATTAAAGTTAATCGTTCTTTGCGAGCTGATATGTTTGCCCGTATCATTCTTTTATCTACTACAACCGATATAAATAGCTTGTCAGATATTACATTTGCTGAGATCAAAATACACTTCAGAAAATAGTCGCGAAGCGATGTAATGCCTTAATTTCAAAGAATGATGTGTGAAACCACGAAATATGGATCAAAGATTAAACTTTAGAAGGTATGATGGATTGATAGATTGTTACCTGTAGCTGCTGCAGCTTCAACACCTGATTCGTTAACATCAATGTATGCTTGCTGTTGTACAGAGCTTACCGATAAACCCCCTTTGTCAGAGATTCCACTCAAGTCAGCGTCTTTGCTGAATAATTTCCTAACTCCCAACTGCAAATATAGATGAAAAGTAAATTAATCGATATGTTCAAAAGAGTTTCCATACTACTTCGGACCAAATGTAAACCTGCAAATCTGTGTATTAGACATTTTCCTGGGTCTTGCATTGTAAACGAGTAGTAACACAACTTACAAAAATGTTAATGCGGTGCCATCAATTTCGTACCTCCTAAAAATCGCATGCTAAGATGTAAAATCGAATAAAAAAAATTACAAAAAAAAATTACATATAATCGATTAAATTTAATAAAAAAAATAGCATGTACGAAAAAGTTATTATATCCATTCCATATTCCAAACATACAAAACAAATATCTACAAATTGCTATACATGATGGACACTTTTAGTACAAGTATTCGTACTGAAGGTAGATAAGTACTACACGTTATCTGCTTGTATAGTTTGACAATAACGACATTCAGAGCATTGACGATACCTAATGAACAGGCAATTATGTAAATTCCCAGAAAAGTTGGGCAATGCTAATAAAAACATAAAGCAGGGGCGTACGCAAGATGATGTAGTTGAGATATAAGGTTAATAATCAGTTAAAACCGGTTACTGAATTTGAAAAAACCGGTTGTTCAATTACCTGGTTATTTTTCCCCATCCCTAGTGGCTAGGTTTATTGTACTACTCACTGCACTGAGGCAGTTGAGTTGATCTTGAGCTAATTCCACTGCCTTAGATTTACAGAAAGCATTAATGTCAGTTTTGGAACTAAAGTGATGACAGCAAATCGTTTTCTAACATCTACGTAATATATAGGGTATTTCACAACTTAACCGACAAATTTTAACTACATATTCACTGTTACGTAAGAAGTTGATTTATCAAAAAAAAAATCTTAAGAAGTCCTACAGAAATCGAGATAATAAAATAATATATAATACTCGTATGCGCCACGTTCTTGCATGTGACTCTTCTGGGACCTGTTAGGCTAACTGCCTTGAGCTTATTCCCGGATTTTCTTCCACAATATCCAAAATTTTGTCTTATATTATTTGAAACGTGTTGTGGGCGAACCCGAGCCACAGTCACTCCACGTCTGGGGCGCAAATCTCCACTAGCACGTGTACGTAAAACAATTGAACTAAATGTTTCGTGATGTGGAATGTGCCTATTCGGAAATCGGTGTGCATACAAACGAGAAGCCGCTCGCGAATTTTGCCCTGCTTCTCCGTACGGTAAAAGAATGTTCACTAACTCCTCATTAGTGTACACATGTGCCATTTTTATGAATAAATAACTAAAAACCTAAACTCGCAAAATACTTTATTATTTAACTTCACAAAAATCGACCGTTCTTTATACAGATCACCCACGATCCAGATTAAACCTTATTTACACGTTCTTATCAGTATAAAAAAATAAAAAAATTCTGGTATTTTGTTTCCGTCAGTTGATTGGTACAACATTTGCTACAATAAATTATTACCGCGTGTTATAATATCACGACGATGAACGAAGAATAGAGATATTTATTTTTCAATTTATTATTGAAACTCAGGTCTATAACTTAATTTCTGTAGGACTTTTATTACATTTTTTTGAGAAATCAACTTCAACAGTGCATATGTGGTTAAAATTTGTCGGATAAGTTGTGAAACACCCTGTATATAATAACCGTACTGCTGAGATTAAAGAACAAAAAAGTTTGACTTGAACTTCAGGTTTCCAGTCTGTTTTGTTCTGGTTGTTCCTTCGAGTTTTTTCTGTACTAGGAATATTGTCAATATTTTTGATTTGTTCGTCAATATATCAACATAGTAGTCAGACAAGGATGTTAAAATGTGAATATTGACAACACTGCCGTCCTTAATGGATACCCGCAATCGCCCGGCCATGAACGTCAATGCCCAATCATCGTCATTGCACGTAACAGTAACATATTCTATATCTACTCACCTCTTTCAGAATGGGCACTAAGTCAATATTGTTTCTGATGGTGAACTTAGGTATGCTCACAGCCACCGGTTTACGTATGTATTTCGCATGAGCTAGGTACTCCTGAACCCTCTCTGCAACATCAGCCAGTCCAGTTTTGCTGTCAGGCAGTATAAACGTCATAGTCACATTGGTGTCGAGGAAAGGCAGCTCAAGGAACTTCGCTTTGAGGTATCCGCAGTGCCAGAAGGATGCTTCGAGTGTGTTTTGCATCATTTCCACATTTTTGGTTTCTTTTTCTGAAGTGTAAAACGGTTTTTGGCTGGTAAGCGATTTTGTAAATGGGTGATGCCATTTAGCTGTGAAGTATAAGACATTCACGAGCACAAGCTTTGTAAGCGAGTCAACTTGGTCTGGTTTAATTAGATCTTTAATTTTGTTGTTGGTGCGCCCTTCTACCTGTAAGTTAAACAAATTTTTTGCTGTGGAAATGTTTAAGTTAAATTAAACATAATGAGACATAAAACTGACCTTGTCGGAAGGGTATGCGTTACAATGTCGGCAAAGTTGCGCTTTTTTCTTAAAATTCGCAAAATAAAAGTATTTATTTCAGAATTTATCGTAATGGAAATATGAATAGTAAATAAGATCTTAGCTTAATTTTTTCATTATGAAGTTGTTTTTCTTGAAAAACACTCGTCCACTTTTCTCCTTAAGCATTCTGGAACATTTTTAGTATAGAATCGGAAGCAGTTTGCCTTATTTGTTTAAAAATGGATAGACAGATATTAATGTAACCAAGTTAAAGTTTCCTGGGGATAAGTGATTACCGTGGAGGATTAGATAAAAGAAGAAGAAGACTGATTTTAAAGTTGTAGTAGTTTGGGTATATGAAATTGGAATTTTGTACTTTACTGTCGCTGTACGTAAGAAGTTCCTGCTGGGATATTTTTGGTGATCTATTAACTATTAACCTTAACTTGAGAACGAGAAGTCATCTAAATCCTGAAAAATTTATAAAATATGACACACATTTTGAATCGTCTCCTTATTTCATCAATATTGTTGAGTCCAACTGTTCCAGTTATCTGATAACTGATAACTTGTTGAATAAAACTGAAGTTAACTAGATATTTAAGACGCAAGTACATATGCTTTAATCTTTTGTTTTTATAGTATGTCTACTTAGCATACAAACGGTATTTTACTCATACGTACCCACTTATTTATCAAATCGGCAGCGGCTACGTTTTCCTTGAAGTTCACATTCTCTATTCCTGCTTTGTACACATCAGCAGCTAAACTTTTTATAGACTTCTTGATATCGAATCCTTCAGCTACGTAAATTTTATTGGCCGATAGAAGCTTGGCATCATCTTTTTCTGAATTGAGCGTCGGTGAGATGACTTTTAACGCCTCTCGTTGGTTAGATCCGATATGGACTGCTTTAGATAACTCAGTGTGTGTGTCTCCTTTAGCTCCCTCTGCGACCAGTGATAACACTATTTCGGCAGAGATTGGACTGGCGATGAAGGCTTTGTCCTTTTTTGCTAGTTCCTGGAAGAATACCAAGTTATTTTATTAATACATCCTTACTGCATGCATTTTTTCACTTTTGAAACAAATCCTATGAAACATGTGAGGCTTGGATGATACCATCATGATTTTTTATCAGGAAACTATTATTGGATTATTATATCGGTATCTGGACGCATATTTCTGAAATTCTGCCAATTGTACAGGGTGTTCCAATTTTAACCCACATATGATGTTTTTTTTTTTGATGGAATGCCCTACTTTTTATTAGACATTCCTATAGTTCCTTATACAAGAACAACATTGATGAGAAGAATTTATGGGTTTTGGTTATTGGTTGGTGATTAAAGGTATTTTATATAAAAAAATGAAAGTTTGATAACCTGAATACCTGTGTTGACAGGTGGCGTCGTGGAGGTTGTGTGAAACATTTTTCATTGTAGTCAATTTTCCAATCATCCATTTATCGAATTTTTTAAATTATGAATACATGTTGGTCAAAAACGCAAAATGTGTTTACTCGCAAAAACATTAAAACACCCTGTATATTTTTGCACTGTCGGATCCTCATTTTCATGAGCAATTTTTCAATATAAGGTTGATACCAGTTTGTTCAAACGGGCTGCGTTAAGCTATTTATTTAAAAAATCGGATATTGGAAGAGATTATAAATAATAAAAGAGTGAGGGATTATTGACAATCTGTCTATAAAATGAGGGTTTTTGTCAATGCTTTTGTGTTGTAACTGAACATAACTTAAATTCAAACTATTTGTTAGTTAGACAGTGCTCAAAAATGTCCGTTTGATAAACATATACAATCAAAGATTTTGAATGTAGAGTATATGAAGCAGGGAATATACGGAGCGTTTCTTGAATACACGCTAGAAAGTGTGAAACATTCGTATGAACACTTCGATAGTCGTAAAAAGTAGCTTAAATTTTAGTTGAATAACTTAAGGACGGCTTTCAGACATCACAAAAATTAACTCTGTATTATAATATCAATCTGTAATAATGAATTCTTGATGGAAGCTTCATTCATTCATTTTATAGACAGATTGTCAATAATATTTTACTTGTGTTTTGTTTCCATGGATCATGTGACTTGTTTTAATAGAGAATAGAATGTAATTTTATTGGTCTTTTTGATCATGATGTTATCAGACAAGTCAATAAGAAGTAAACTAGATCAACAGGGACAAATATTACATTGGCAAGTACTGTAAAACACTTGAAATAAAATCCGAAAACAGCTGACGTAATAAGGCATATATTCATAAACTTTGTCACTTAAGTACTCTCCAAGACCGTCGCTATCAGCATTTTTTAAGAGTTTTCTCAAAAGCATACTCGTTCAGTTCTTTTATTCTCTTTGGTAACTTACATATTTCTGGTGTTATAATTATTGTAATAATTTAATGGGCTGAAGTTTTCTGGACTATGTCTGGTATTACTCGTATTAACAACTCAAAAATATATAAACACAGGTAACAGTCATTTCATTTAAACTTATGAAGATATTAATGCAGCTAGTTCTTTTATCCATTCCCGTTATATAAGCACTTTTTTCATACCACATATTTTGTTTGCTTCATGATAGCCTCTCAAGCTGCTATGTTGAATGAAAATATGCATAGTAGTATATCATTAATACCTATATATCAACTATCAAATGCCCACTTTATTGTAATAAATGGCTATAACGCAGAAACCCTTTGAACAATCTAGTAAAAACCTTATATGAAAAGAAAGCTCATAGAAATGGGGATCCGATAGTGACAAAAGATACAGGGTGCTCCATTTAATTTTTTTGCGAAAAAGTACGTCTGGCGTTTTTGACCGCTCTGTATTGATGATTCTAAAACTTAAAAAAATTGATGAATTAGGTTAAAATTGAATAAAATAAAAAATGTTGAACCAAATTTACGACTACACCTGTCAATATTAGCAGATATGTGGGCTAGCAAATATTGATGTTTTTCTATATAAAATAGTCATAACTCAACAACTATTAATCAAAACCCAACAGTATGTTATATCAAACTTGTTCTTTATCTGAATGCGCAATAAAAAGTAGGACATTACGTTTAAAAAAAACAAATATGGAAACCTAGTATAATTGTGGATATTTCAGAAATATGTCCCCAGATACCATATATAATAATCCATAAATAGTTTTTTCAATAGTTTTTGTTCAGGAGCAACATTCCGTCTTCGTACGGTTGGGACACCCTGTATACTAAACATTCAATATGAAAGAGAGTTATGTCAGTCATTTTGTCATTCTGTCTGCCTGGTCACCGAACAGAAAAAATCGAAGAGTAGTTGGAGGAAGGGAGAGAAAGGGCATAGAATTGCAGCTATTAGACGAGGAAAGACCCAAGCATTGTTGAATAGACTGGAATAATTTTTACTTTTTTACAACAGTATTGATTTATCATAAATTATTTTAGATGACTTGAGAAGTCACGTCAAATTTTGTTTAATATTTCATGATGCAGTCTGAACTTGCAGTCACTAACACGCAATAAAACTATAATACTAGACTAGATATAAAAATGGCGTCAAGTAGGTATGTTGCCTGTGCACTTTCCACGCAACGTAGTTCACAAACGATTACCTATTCTCAGCAAAAGTTTAACAAACGAATTAAATAGATCAAGTCAGTCAAACATGCCAATACAATTAGTTCATAGTTTCCACGAATTACCAACCATCTAGCAACTTTGCTGTGACTAACCTCTGCACCCTCCAGTCCAGCAAGGCATTCCACCCTCCCAGACACGTGAATTGAAAATAAACATCTTAAATTATTCATCAAGTTTTAAGGATAAATAAACGGGGAAATCTACGATGTATAAAATATGTCTACAAGGTTCGTAGAACTGCCGGAGATGGAAGCGTATAAATCCTCCAACGAAATTGAGATATACCCTTCTCATTCTCTAAGACCCCCACCCAAAATCGAAGTTTCAGCGTTCTGTTTTTTGCTCCCCGCCTCCTCGTCACGGGACCGATTTATAATTTCGTCCTTGGCGGAGAAGTAATCTTGTGTGAAAATTTCATTAAAATCCAAGCAGTATTTTCCAAGAAATAGTCGGGCCATGCATTAGCAGACAGACCGACAGACCGACAAAGAGCCAGAGAGACTCACGGAAGTGAGTTTTCCGTGATGTATATGTCATGTAACATTGAAAAAACATCATATATCCATTTGCCAAATTTCTTAATTACAATACTTTCTTGCCAGTGCAGTGGCAAGGAGTGTAAAATTGTGAAAATTGAACAAAATTGAAAGTTCCTTATATACGAGTACACCATCATACATGGTATATCCTAATTGATGTCAATATTCAAGGGGACGATGTTTGGATCCATTTTAAGAAGAAAACTTAATATGAACGTATGCCCTAAATGTCTTAACTTTTGAGATACAGGGTGGTAATGTTTTCAATTGACTTTTTTTGAATTAAGACAAAACATTAAAATCTGTATTCATTTATCAGAAGATATCTTCTCCTGAATTTTTGTAAACAGACGCACGATTTTCACCTAACGAAATAAAAGCCATTTCTCTGCATGGTGATGTCATATTTTTATGATCACGCAGAGAAACGGTTTTTATTTTTTAAGCGAAAAGCGTGCATCGGTTTGACAAAAATCGAGCCAACAAATTTGCTTAGAAGGGACAGCCGATTTCAAGAATGCTTTTTATTTTAGGGGATTTCAGTCAAATAAGCAGGTGAAATTCCGTACGAATGCTGCTGGTGGAAATTGAAAAATGTACTACATTCAAGCATGTCCCTTGGTACATAGTACATGTATGCCAAATTTGATTAAAACATTTGAAATGGTATTTACAGATATTAATACAAAATTATTTATTTTTAAAAACTGTACCACCCTGTATTTCAGAAGTTAAGACGTTTAGGAAATACGCTCATATGAAGTTTTATTCTCAAAATAAACTAAAAAATGTCCGCGCTAAATATTGATATAATTAGGAAATACCCTGTATTCTGCTAGATGTTGCAAGTTCGGTAAGTTGTTAGAAGAATGGCGTCAAGTAGGCAACGCTGTCATCAATTCATAATAAAAGAATAACACAGGAATGAATAAAGTTAGTCAAAGAGGCTGATACAATCATACAAAGTGATCTACCCTACTGCCCTACCGACAATACAGACCACTCAACAATGTGTCAAAACCAAATTTTTAAATAGTACATTTCCGAAATTTCTCCTTAATTTTCGATTTGATGCAACGCTGCGCTGTTTAAATTTTTAAATAGCTGCATTTCAGCATTTGATGGTTACCACCCCTCTTCCCGCCGCTCTGGAATTTTCAATTACAGGGACCTGATGCAACCCTACGCTTTTCAACTATTTGAATATTAGCATTTCAGCGTTTGATGCTAGCGCCCCCCCCCCCCCCCTCCTTCCGCTCTGAACCGAGTAGAGCTGAAGCATGATGCCCCCTTTTCAATTTTCAATCACCGGCAAGTTTTTGCTTTATGGTTTAATGTCTGCCGAAAAATTTCGAACAAATCTACCGAAAACAGATCGACTCTCCCTAACATCACTGTCCAGCTTCCGAAGGGAACACGTTTTCGCTTGTTAAGTTATCGGGTACGGGTATATCGAAAATATATTTATTTATATCGTTATAGTTATAACGGCAAACGTACCGGTAAATCTATGATGGATGGACTACGTCTAATAGGTGCGTTGAATTAGTGGGGTTGGAAATGTATGAATTGATAGCACTAAAATTGACATATTATGCTTGCCAAGTTGCAGAAGGATCACGGATTAGCTGACAGACAGACAGACTGACAGAAATGAGTGATATGGTTTTGCGTGCTCCAGATAAAATTGAAGACACACACAAAGGGAGAGAGAGGGGAATTTTTCACGATTACAATGCTCCCACGAAAGTGGCATAGGAAGTAAAATAGAATTTTCAAACTTCAGTTCCACTACTTGTTGATGATACATCTCATTGGGATGATGAACAATCAGCTTTAACTCAACAAATATTAAACTTCTTAGTACATCCAGGTATGAAATAAAAAAATAGAGTAATTTACTTAAAGAAATGCAACTACAGGGTTTGTCCGGAAAGTAATAGGACTGAGTCGATTTAAAAAAAATTGTTTAGCCAATCGTTACAATTCTTTAAAAACTTTCAAAATAATCTCCTTCTGCGTCGATGTAGCGCTGCTAGCGCGATTTCCAAGCATTGAAGGCATCACGGAAGGCATTCTCCGGAATAGCCTTGAGAGCCGCGGTGCAGGCTGCTTGGATCCCCTCTGTCGTCTCAAAATGCTTGCCTTTCATCGGCCTTTTCAGGCGAGGACAGGCAAGCGTTGGGATGCCGGCCTTGGTCAGGTAGCTGTTAACAAGAAAGGCGGTGTGAGCCGGGGCGTTGTCGTGGTGCAACTTCCAGTCGGCTGCGATGTTTTGTCGGACCCGACTGATCCTTCGTTTGAGTCTCCTGAGCACTTCCACGTAAAACTTGGCGTTGACGGTTTGTCCAGGAGGAACAAATTCATGGTGGACGATGCCTTTGATGTCAAAAAAGACAATGAGCATCGTTTTCACTTTGGATTTGCTCATTCTTCCCTTTTTTGGGCGAGGAGACGCCGTCGTGTGCCACTCGGAAGATTGCCTCTTTGTCACGGGATCATACTCAAAGATCCACGACTCGTCACCTGTGATTACGTTATTCAAAAATTGGGGGTCATTTTCACCCATGTTCATATTTTCTTGGCATACTTCCACTCGCCGCAATTTCTGGTCGTTAGTGAGCACTTTTGGGACCATCTTCGCGCACACCTTGCGCATGTTTAAATGCTGTGTCACAATGTCATGAATCACAGATTTTGGTAAATTTAACATCTGGGCAATTAAACGAATACTTAGTCGACGGTCTGAGTTCAAAACTTTGCGCACACGAGTCACATTAGCGGTGTTTGTCGAAGTCGAAGGTCTTCCAGCACGGTCTTCATCAGCGACCTCTTCCCGGCCCTCCAAAAAGGCCTGGTGCCACCGAAACACACCACTTCTTGCTAAAGCAACACCTGGGTAATCCTGCTTGATCATATCAAACGTCTCTGTCGCAGATTTACCGAGTTTCACACAGAATTTAATCGCGTACCTCTGCTGTAACGAACGCTGCATTTTCGGCTTGCACCACTCACAGAAACACGTCGCGCGAAAATGCCTGTCCTGACTCTCCAAGTGCTCGGAGACAACTGACCAGCCGCCCATTCGTTAGCTAGGAACGCCCTCTACCGAATCCAGTCGGTGCGCGCACGCTCCGAAGTATAGTCATGGCGGAAGAAAATGAGTCCTATTACTTTCCGGACAAACCCTGTATGATGTATGGCTTAACAATGTTTAACTGTATAATTGTTGATATTTGAAAGATACTTCTCATTGTACCATGCACAGCAATCCATAGGTACGATTCTTAATCTGGAAACAATATTGTTCCATGGTTGGGCCATCCTGTACAGCTAACGCAAATGTAGGATTTCTTGTAATAGAAATCAATTTTAGGAGTATGCTAGAGTATGAAAAAACACTTATTGGGAGCATATGCTTTGGAATATCAAACTGCATAATATCGAAGATCCGTTAACAGAAGAAAGAAACAATATAACTGAATAGTCAAAACTGTTTTGTTACGGCATACTTACTATGTCAGTTTCGTACAACATTATAAGAATGCACCAGTCATATGTGTCCACTTAAAATCAGTAAACAAGTGCTTTTCGGTTTTTTTTTCGAAGATATATAGGCCTCATTGAAAGAAACACATGTTTGCTTATCACGTGGTTACATATGTACGACGCTTCTACACTATCATATCATTGTCATCATAAGTAAAGAGTATACATCACATTTCAATACTGATATATTCTATTCAATTAAAAATAATTAATGTTTAATTTCAAATCTTACCTGGTAGATGTTTGCAGAAAACTTAAGATTGTCCTTTGAGAACTGTTGAAGAGGTTCGTCAGCACTGACACCCAAAAATAGTAAAACGCTTACCGAAATTAGCCCATGTAAATTCATATTGCGTCAAATATAGAGGTATGCAGTGTTAAAGTTATAGGTATGTATGTATATCTAATGCAGTCCTGGGCACAATGAGCACAAGTGCAATAACACACATATATCTTCAGGAAACCAGTATTTATATGTTTGCCATATTCCATATCAACGTTGTCATCAGTTGTAAATAATTAAATACATATATGTATTCAAACGTCGCGTCGGGTTTTTTCTTTGTTTTCGCGGTCGTATACATGTATATATGGTGCAAAAAGGGGATTTCCAAGATCAGAGATTATCGTTTAAAGTAGTTTACAAGAAACTCCATGTTATTAGCATTTTCTTGTAATAACCATTACAGCGTATATAACTGTTCCTTAATTAATTATAATTTATCACATGCAGGTTGCAGGTCGGAAAACATACGAGTTTTTGCTTATTCTAAAACTGATAGACTGACGGAGCAAAAACAGAAGTTATTCTCAAGACCTGTATGTCATCCCATAGCTATTTGATTTTGATGGCCCTACCTGGATTAAACGATTTAATTTATTAACAAAAGACGTACGCTTTAGTTTAAAATTGTTGTCTAACCTCAAATGCGTATTTGACCAATCGTCTATTTATTTGGCATGGTTGCCAGATATCTGAACCCTTAATACACGGTGCAAAAAAAGATGAGGGACTAGAAATTTCGATTTTGTGTGATCTTATATTTCATTGCCTTCTTCTATTCCATTTTCTTGATGAAATGCATCAATAGCTTTAGCTCTTAAAATGCAGTGCAAGGAGTAGTTTTAGGTCCACTCTTATTCAATATTAATTTAACCAAATGAAATATTCGAATTTAACTGTGCCGGTAAAATAATCAGTTTAATATAAGACATTGCGATTCTAAAACTAAAGCAAGAACTGGATTACTTGCAAATATCTAGGAATGATAATGAAAATTGCAGCACCTCGTAAAAACTTTTCTTAAAAACACAAATCACATATTGATAAACGAATAAGCAACGTGTGCTGCCTATTTACATATGCCAATAATGAAGTTTCAGAGAATGCATATGAGATTAAGGGTCTGCTTTAGGGGAACGTTGTCTTAATGAGAGATAAAACACCAGGATTAGCAAAACAACTTATTTTACTACATTAATCATTTTCATTGGAATGTTGGGAAATGGCAAAAGCGGTAAGTCATATCCTTATATGAATGGCTAAAAAGATGTCACCTGCTGATCAGCTGTTTACCTTAGTAGCTCAGTAGACGTAATGGAGACTTTAAAAGGGTAACTTCTTTTGCCACGACTAGCTAAGAATTCGACAACCGATCATACAGATAATGTCTTTTTTACGAGTATCCATTAGGGTAGAATATCAGCTTATTATCTAGTAATATTTCAAAAATCCTCATATTGACAAATCACACACAATTCTTATCTTCTTATCCGTCAACGAGGGGTAGATAGCGTCGAATTTTGTGTTTCTGTTTGTACGCTACGGATTCATTTTGTAGTTGCTATAACAACTCTTTTATTTAGAAAAGTTCGCATACAAAAAAGATACAAGCAAAATGGCTGCTAATGATTATGACTACATTTCAAGTCAGGTAGGAATAAAATAAGATAAACAGTTTTTGACTTTGTTTATCATCTCTACTTTTTAGAACTTGAAGTACAATACGATTTTATAGAGCAATGAAACAGCCATATTTGGATTACGTTACACTGATGATGCACAATTAACCAGAAAGACCTACTTGTCTATAACATTTTTACGTATAAAATTACAGCTACTAGAAAAGACCCCCAAATGGCCCAATCTGTTCTATCGACTTACGTCGTAATCAACAAATCTCAGATGTACTATAATAATTTTCTAATAAATGTTTTTCTATGCGTTTTCCGTATATTTTATTGTAAACATTCTCTCCCTAAAATTATCTAGATATGTGAACTACAAATATGAATACGGTACTGAGTTTACATCCGATTCATTGTTCCCAACGTTCACCTCAGTAGAGGTCAAAACTTAATGGATACTCGTGATAGAGGGACCTGTTGGATGTTAACATTTTGTCAGATAGTCAGTCGTCGTATGCAAATTTGATATCAAATTTCATAAATTTTATGCCCTGGCATGTGGTCCTGACATACCCTTATATGGAAATACGACTATCAGGGCCTGGACGAAACTCAGATGTTCAATTCTAGATAGAATATGTGTCCATATGCATGAGTGAATTTCTAATATTGCAACATACTCCAAGGTCAAAGAAAAGTCCTCCCTGCCTGATAATGTGTTGTGTTCACCAGTAGTGCTATTAGTGCTATACTTATCGCTATTGCACGTACTACTATTATTAACGTTTTATAGCAAAATAAGTTGACGCGGGTTTGTTTTGCATACTGGAAGCTATACATTGATATATGCCATAGAATAGGCGATAAAACGTAATACATGAAAAAATATTTTTCATTAGAGAATACAGTAAGATAAACGTTAGTAATAACTATTTTGCGTATTTCATAGTTCCATATCTGCAACATGTTGTGTATAGAGCGTCTATTTGGTTTGGTAGTAAAATATATACATTATGTCCCAAAATTACAGGAATACTGTGTTGATGATGATATAGAAATAAGTTGAATGAGCCGACCAATCAACGCAGCATTAGAATAAGAGTTGTCCACTGAGGAGGAATTTCAATCACACTAAGAAAAATTTTAATCAATCCAACTAAAATTAACGATGTGACAGCTAACAAATTTGATTTGCTTAATTAAATTAAATTCCTAAAACAGCCAAATTGAATCTATGAAACTATTCACTTAATCTATACAAACTAGTTTAATTAAATCAAAAGCATCTCTTTAAGTATATAAATTTAACTATTTCCTTAGTTTGTATTAAGCAAATTGACTTGAAATTAATGAATTATCATAAACGAGTCCATCTGCTTCTAGCAAACTTTTCACTTGTATTTATTAAATATGCAGGTAAGCTATTTACCTGGTTCTAGTAAATTATTTTATTTTCGATATATAATAAAATAAAAATGGCATTTTCATGAATGATGTATATTATAGTATGGTGACAAATCTAACAGCAACAATTTCTGTTTATAAGTTATGTGTTCCAACGAAATAAAAAAGTTCCAAAATTCGACATTTATGATTTTCATTTATTGAAAACAAACCCGCCATTCGCTATAAAAAACACATAACAGTCTGTTTCAATCAAAACTTTTACCTAAGGGTAGTGAAAATTTAATGTTTTATATGTAATTTTCCTACATAAATTGCGTAAATCAAATTTTATAGACAGTTTCAATAAAAAAAGTATATGATTTATATTTTCAAATAAATATGCTGGAAAACTTTATTACCTTTCAATTAAACTGGTTCCAGAAAATTCGTTTGACTTCTTTTGCATTATGATTTCATTTTAAACAATTATTATTTTAGCTATTTAAATTACACGAAAAAATCATTACTCGTAATGAAAATTTTACCAGAAAACTTGTTGAATTGGCTACGCTTTCTCAGTATGGTTACAAATTTTGATAGCTACTAATTTGCATAAAATTCGCATAGGTATAAATTATAGTTGCTAAGTACGTATGAAAATTACTAGTATTGAAGAAGGTAAAACAGGGTGACTGCCATGTAGCTTCCTGAGATTATTTCACCAGCATTTTTTCTCAAATTTTGAAACAGATTCCTTAAGGTCTTCGAATAATGGTTTAATAAAACGTTTTAATATTTTATTTTATACAAAGCTCTTTAGGCTGCACTCAATCGAATTATTCAAGTTTTATTTTGTGTAACATTCTTCTTCAATATGCACCATATGCTTTGATCACAGGGATCTGAACCATAAATGACCCCTAATGCTTCTCTTTGGTGTCACTCGATTAGTTATAGCTCCTCTAGAAGGTGGACAATATACAACGATGCTTAGATTCGTCCTTGTGTTGATTACTTCGCAGTTGCTTTGCTGTTTAATCACTTTTTGACAAGTGATTTCTTCTCGCTTGTCCCTGTAATATACACGATATATATTTTATGGTATAATATCCCTACCAATATTATCAATGTGTGAGTGTGTCATGTGTGTTTGTATGTCTGAAGGTTCTGTTTTCACGCCAAAAAGGCTGGACCGTTTTTGATGAATTTAAGCCTATACAGGGTGACTTTGAAGTTGAGTCATTAATTTTCAGATAATGATTGTAGAAGGAAGATAAACCAAAATATGTGTGTAAAAATAAAAAAAAATTAAAAAAAAAATGTTACCTTGTTTTATAAAGTATCCTCCCGACAAGTATTTCAGTGCGGACCTGTGCGCCCAAAAGCATGTCACAAAAACTGTTCGAAATGATTTCCGTTTTGCTCGACGCACAGCTGGGCGCGTCTTAGCCATGTCTCTTTACAAGCACGCAATAAAATCACTGGTTGATTTCTGATCACTGTACTCATTTCCTCAATTCGAGCACGTAATTCTTCGCGTGTATTAACCGGTGTTTTATACACTAGAGTTTTTAGCCAACCCCACAAACAAAAGTCTAAAGGATTTAAGTCCGGAGACCTTGGCGGCCAAGGTACAAAACCGCCACGGCCGATCCAACGATTATTAAATTGTCTATTTAAAAATTCACGCACATTTCTTGCATAATGGGGTGGTGCCCCATCTTGTAAAAACCACATGTTTTGTCTAATATTTAAAGGCACATCTTCCAGTAAACCAGGCAAATTGTGTTGCAAGAAATCAAAATAATTTTCACCAGTTAAGCGATTTGGTAATTCAAAAGGCCTCACTAAAATTCCATTAACAATTCCCGCCCACAGGTTGATTGGTTCAAATCGCTGTTGAAAATTGGTTTCCCTTATTTCATGGGGATTTTCAATAGCCCAAACGTGAGAATTACGTGAATTAATAATTCCGTTTCTAGTAAAGAGGGCTTCATCACTCACTAAAATTTGATTTAAAAAATTGTCATCATTTTGATGTTTATTTAAAAGCCAATTGCAAAAGTCAACCCTTTGTTCATGATCTTCCGGTTGTAAGGCCTGCACTTTTTGTATGTGAAACGGATAGAACTGATTTTCACGTAGAGTTTTCCAAGTTTTATACTGACTAATCGCCAATTGAGTTGAAATTTGTCGGGTGCTTACTGTTGGATCATCACTTACTTATTCTAAAATTTGTTCTTCTAGTTCTATTTGATCGTGTGGTCTTGGAGCACCGGCATGATCTCCTCTGTGAGGTCTTAAGTCACCTGATTCACGAGCTCTTTGCACTACATTAACAAAGGCACGAGGGGTTGGTTGCACTCGATTGGGAAACCGATCCGCATAGATCCGTGATGCCGCGGCAGCATTTTGTAAAGAATAAGAACCATGTCCACAAGTTCAGCATTTTCGTAAACATGTGCCATTTTTGATTTGAGCCTCGCAACAGACACGATTATTCACTTACGCGTTACCGACTACCGACTGATACTGACTGTATACAACTGAAGAAAATAATTGTAAAAAGATCGTTCCAAATTCTTTCGCTTTTTTGTTTCCGATGCGATGAACGGATAAGGCGGATTATATCTGTTGTTGCCAAACACGAGAACATAATATCATTATTGAGACAGGGCGGTACTAAAACTTCCAAAGAGCTATAACTTTGTTACTTTAATTTTACCAGAAAAATGGTAAAGGAAAAAAACATTTCTTTTGATCAGATCTACTCACTGTTAAAATAAATGACTCAACTTCGAAGTCACCCTGTATACAGATTGTTTCCAATCCGACCTTCACCATTGGGA